ATCGAGTGCCCTTGGTTCTGATGGAATGACAGGTCTCTTTTATCAGCATTACTGGGATATCATTGGAGCCCAGGTTTCATCGGAGGTAATCAAATTCTTTGAGGAAGGATCTTTTCCTGAAGAATGGAACCACACTCAACTTTGCCTCATCCCCAAAATCACTGATCCTATCTCAATGCCTGACCTGAGACCGATCAGCCTCTGTTCCGTGTCTTACAAAATTGTTTCGAAGATCTTGGTATCAAGGCTCCAACCGTTCTTGCCTGATATCATTTCTCCAACTCAATCTGCTTTTGTGAGTGAGAGGCTCATATCAGACAACATTCTAATTGCGCATGAAGTGGTTAATGGTCTTAAGTCTTTTCCGAGGATTGCAAAGGAGTTTATGGCAGTAAAGACTGATATGTCAAAAGCTTTTTACAGAGTTGAATGGGAGTATCTTCGTGTTCTGCTCTCAAGATTGGGTTTCCATGCTAAGTGGATTGAATGGGTTATGTTTTGTGTTCGAACGGTCTCCTATACGGTTCTCATCAATGGAAATGAACACGGCCTGATTTTTCCTGAGAGAGGGTTCAGACAAGGGGACCCTTTGTCTCCCTTCCTCTTTGTTCTGTGCACCGAAGGTCTTTCCCATCTCTTGAACAAGGCTGAGCAAGCTGGATTGATTGAGGGTATTAGATTCTCTGCCTCTGGGCCTTCCATTCATCATCTGCTTTTTGCAGATGATAGCCTCTTCATGTGTAAAGCAAACGTGCAGCAATGTGAGTCAATAATGGGAGTGCTACAGACATATGGTAAAGCGACTGGGCAAATAATTAACCTAAACAAATCTTCGATCACCTTTGGAAATCTAGTAGAGGATGAGAGCCGTATCCTGGTGAAGGAAAGTTTGGGAATATTTTCAGAGGGTGGTGCAAGCACTTACCTTGGTCTCCCGGAATGTTTCAGCGGCTCAAAGGTGGATCTGTTGGCTTATATCAGAGATAGAATGAAAGCACGAATTTCTGGATGGTTTGCAAGACAACTGTCTCAAGGTGGCAAAGAGATTTTGCTCAAAGCAGTGGCGATGGCAATGCCGATCTTTGCGATGTCCTGTTTCCGTCTTCCAAAAACAACTATCGCCAATCTCACTAGTGCCATGGCGGATTTCTGGTGGAGCTCAATGGAAGACAAAAGAAATATCCATTGGATTAGTTGGGACAAAATATGCCTTCCCAAAGATCAAGGAGGTCTGGGTTTTCGTGACTTGGAATGCTTCAATCAAGCTCTGTTGGCTAAACAAGCTTGGAGGATATTACGGAACCCGGATTGTCTCTTTTCTCAGGTGATGAAGAGCAGATATTTTGAGCATAAAGAGTTCCTCTCATCTGGTATCGGCAATCGTCCTTCTTTCGGTTGGAGAAGCATCCTTTATGGCAGAGATCTCCTTTGCAAAGGTCTCAAACAGATGGTGGGTAATGGCTGCTCGCTCCGGGTTTGGATTGACCCATGGATTCAAGATGAAAGAAAAAGAGCTCCCTTGATGAGGAACATTATAACTGACCTGAATCTCATGGTCTATGACCTTATTGATTCATCAACGAAACGATGGAACAATGCCAAACTCGATGAATTGTTTTATGAAGATGATGTTGCTTTGATCCAATCTATCAAACCGATTCCCTCTCTTGATGATTTCATGTCTTGGGAGCTCAATAGAGGTGGAGCCTATTCTGTAAAGTCTGGTTATTGGCTCGCTTTTCAGCTAAAAAATGCAGGACTAATTAGGAATGCTACGGCTCTTCCTTCTATCAATGTCCTAAAAGCTCAAGTATGGTCCCTGCGCACTGCCCCCAAGATCAAGACTTTCATCTGGAAAGCTCTTTCGGCGGCCATCCCTGTATCGGACCTTTTGGATGCCCGTGGTCTCTCAGTAGACTCTCGATGCCAGGTTTGTGGCTTGGAGGGTGAATCGGTTAATCACGTCCTCTTCTCTTGCACTGTTGCCCGCCAACTCTGGGCTTTATCTCTGTTCCCCTGCCCGGAAGATGGATTTAATATTTTCTCAGTTTTTGAGAATTTACATTTCCTTCTCTCTTCGATGCACAATACCGCAATCCCGGATGGTGTAAATCTCAGCTTCCCCTGGATCCTCTGGTTCTTATGGAAAGGTCGTAACTCTCTCATTTTTGAGGGAACAAAGTTCTTAGCGACGGATACTATGGCCAAGATTCAAGACGAAGTGAACCAATGGCACTTTTCTAATTCACCCAGTGGATGCGAAGACGCAGAACAAATCGTCTCTTCTCCTGCAAAAACCACCCAGCATTGGTATCCACCTCCTCCTTCTTGGGTAAAATGTAACATTGGATTCTCCTGGTCTAAGCGTAACCGTCTAAGTGGTGCATCGTGGGTACTACGGGATGCAAATGGTATTGGTATCATGCATGGTCGTAGGTCTTTTAGCTTTGTTAATAGCCTTATTGATGCCAAATATTATAGTTTTTTGTGGGCATCTGAGAGTATGTCAAGCTTGAAGATCTCAAAGGTGATGTTTGCTTCCGATTCTCCTGATCTTATTGGAGCAGTTCAACGTCCCCCTGCTTGGCCCTCTTATAGGTTCCATTCGACTGAAATTATTAACTCTCTTTCCCTCATCCCTGACTGGAATATTGAAGCTAGAAGCACAAGATTCAAATAGATGTGCTTCCCTAATTGCTCGTAGTGTTACGGCTGAGGATCGGAGACAATCATATGTAGCCGCTGGTACTCCGAATTGGCTCTCTGCCCAGTTTGAAGAAGAGAGATCTTTTGTGCATTTTTAATCTCTCTGTTTGTATTGGCTTGATGATTTGCTTTGATCCCTTTTGTGTAACTCGGGTTTTAACACCTTTTTCAATGTATTATTCAGACGGAAAAAAAAAAAAGATCGTTCATTGTGTTCCACGACAGAAACTTAGGAACAGCATGACCTACGCAAAATTAATGATCCGGCCGCTCTTTCTTTTGACCCCTCCGCTAATAGTAAAATTACGGAATCTTGATTTTTTTTATTGAAATGTAAATACAGAAAAATATTGGAGTATATCTTAGTTATTTTTTGGAGTAATATTTTAAAAGTAAAAAATAAAAAAATAAAAGTTTTAGAGTTAAGAAAATATCGCCCAAACACATTTGTAATTAGATATTCATAAAACGGAAAAGTGATATTTGATACATCATGTGATACTCCAATCTTACCTTTCCTTCAGAGAACCAGACAGATTGGCCGTATCAACTTCTAACGCCCTAACTGCCTTTCTCAGTGAGTCTAACGCCTTTGAGTCTAACGCCTTTGAGTCTAACGCTTTTGAGTCTAACGCCTTCACTTTAGAACCCAACGTCCTTTCTCTAAGTCTGTTGGCCCACCAATTGTCCCTTCTAGTGAGTCCAACGTCTTTTCTTTAGGGCCGTCGGCCACCATTGTCCGATGGTTGATCTCTCTTTAGGTCTGTGGGTCCACCAATGTCCGATGGTAGGTACGTTGATTCGGGAGACTCGTAAGATTTGTCTACTGTCTCTGCAATCACCATGTGATCTTTGATCTTTCTTTATGCTTTATGTTTTGTCTTCACTCACACGGTACCATGGACCACTTTCTGGTAAGTCACCCATTCTGAAATTGCTCCAGCTTAAACACATTTAACTCTAGAATTCTCTCAATACCAATGCCCAAACAAATTAAGTGCGCTAATAACATAGATAGCCAAATTAATTTTTATAAATCTTTCCACATATACCAAAAATCAGGATTACACATTGGATATGAAAAAAAGCTCAAAACATTTCTTAACAAGCCTGCATGCATCAAAGCCACGGAAGGTGAATTTTATAGTAGTGATTTGATAATTGAGAGAAAAGATGATATATTGAAATACGTATTTTAGACTAAAATCAATGAATTTTAAACCTTGTTATGAACCATAAAAATCGACAAACAACTTGAATATATTTAAAATTTTCAATGTGTTTTGAAACTGAGTGTCTATAACTCATTTTTTTAATCTAATGCTAAATTATATTTAAAAATAACTGTTTACAATTGTTTTGGAGAGTTTTTGAAAGAATTTTTTTAAAACACTACTACACTAAACTCATCTTGTAAAGAACCATGTTCTTAAGCCATCCTCGTATCTCATGTCTCCTATCGAACAGAGTTGGTTTCGCACATTCTTGTCCATCATCTTCGCAATACAGTAAGGAAGGCTTCTCACCATGCCTTCTGTTATTCCGTATTCTCCAAATTGAATATATCGACATTTGAAATGCATACCTAAGGAGGAAAGCTGATGTCCGGTTACATGGTAATTTGACGATCATTTCCACCACCTCCTCCCAAACGCAGGTAAACCTGGTTGTCAATATTCCATGTACTAGAATTCTCCACACTTCCTTCGAAAAAGAGCAAGAGAAAAATAGATGGTCCTTTATCTCTATGGGATCGCCACATAGAGCACAGCTTGAGTCCGCATTGACACTCCAGTTTTTAATTCTATCACCAGTGGCTAATCGATTCTAAATGCTAACCATGTTATGAACCTGTACTTTGGAATGGCTTGTGAAAACCAGACTCCTCTATGCCACGGCACATGCAGTCTCGTTTGCCTGATATGACCCCAACCCCAAGTGTCTTTTGTATCAAAATTAGTTTTGTGCTGACCATCTTTCCTTTTCCATAGCGCCACATCTCTTCCAGTCGGGTCGTCTATAACTCGTTAATATGATCGAGAAAAAGAAAAGTGACCTGCTGTAGTTTCAAAGTTTATAAATTCCTTCATATGTGTTTTTGAATTTCTACGTTGATCCTCTTGCGAAAGGAGTTAATATTTAAGAGGTTCTTTTGTTTTTTTTCATTTTGAACAAGTTTGGTTAAAACTGTGTAATACTAGTATAATATGGAACATTTGATGTAAAACAAAAAAGCAAACAAAGAAAACAACAACAAACAACACCGTTCTCCAAATTACTTTTGTTTTAGCTTCCTCTTTTTGGTTCTTCTTATCTGCTCTCATGTTTCTGGAGTTTTTCTACTTTCTAGTGAGAAAGTACGCAAATACTCTTTCACCTTAGAAAAAACAAAAAACTCAGAAATTTTTCCTCTCTTTCTCTGGCTATCTTTCAAATCTAATCCTCGTTGATTTTCTAATCCTAGGAAAAGGGTGTCGAATTTTGTTGATCTGTCCTCTCCTCGTCAAGACTTTTCTTTTTATTTTTCTTGGATTTCAGACAAAACCCAGTTTTAGAAACGTCGATTTTGATTTTTTTTCTTTTCACAAACTCGGATTTTTCTCTCTCAACTGAGAATTAAAAAAAAAAAAAATTGAATGAAAGGACACCAAAAAGTCTCGTCGGAGAAACCAATATGGGATCGGAGCTCTTCAGGTGTATCCATGACCCGACCTGCTCGAAGACTAATGATCTGGCTCATCCTCTTCATCTCCGTCACTTACATCATCTACACTCTCAAAATCATCTCCACTTCACACCCTTGCGAACAAGATCCAACGATTCTCCAACAGAGACCGCAGAAAAAAGCGATTTCGGTTGCGGTCGAAGCGGTTGCGGCGGAGCAAGAACCGACCGATCTAAAGAACGTCGTTTTCGGGATTGCGGCGTCGTCGAAGCTGTGGAAACACAGGAAAGAGTATATCAAGATTTGGTATAAGCCCAAGAAGATGAGAGGCTACGTGTGGTTAGACAAAGAGGTGAAGATCGAATCAGACGCCGCCGGAGAGCAAAACCTCCCGCCGGTAAAAATCTCCGGGGACACGGCGTCGTTTCCTTACACGAACAAGAAAGGACACAGATCAGCGATTCGGATCTCGAGGATCGTATCGGAGACGCTGATGAGTCTTGATTCAGATTCGAGGAAGAATGTGAGGTGGTTCGTGATGGGTGATGACGACACGGTGTTCGTCACGGAGAATCTGATTAGGGTTTTGAGGAAATACGACCACGAGCAGATGTATTACATTGGGAGCTTGTCGGAATCTCATTTGCAGAACATTTTCTTCTCTTATGGAATGGCTTATGGTGGTGGAGGTTTTGCGATTAGCTATCCATTGGCCGTGGCTTTGAGCAAGATTCAAGATCGGTGTATAAAGAGGTATCCGGCGTTGTACGGTTCCGATGATCGTATGCAAGCTTGTATGGCTGAGCTTGGAGTTCCATTGACTAAAGAGCAAGGTTTTCATCAAGTAAGAAATTTTTTTTTTTTTTGGTTTGATTTTGTTGATTATGCCGAATAGGTGTTGCTTAGATTGGTTTTGATTCTAACTTTCCAAGTGGGTTTGGCTTGCTAGTGAAATAGGCATAATTGATGATCTTTTGCTTGGCTAAAGTTGCCTACTTTGATGATTTTGGTGTAATGTGCGTTCATAGTTTACTGATTTCAACTCTAAATAGGTGCGATTTTTCGATTTTAGATTTTGTGGCTTTGGTAGTTGAGAGTTTTGTTTGATATGCTAGTTCAAAGTCAGATTAGGGCCAATCGATTAGTGAATACTCTTTTGAGGTTTTGTTGATGAAAATCTAAAGCTTTAGTGTTTGGAAGAAGGAAAAAAAGAGCTTTGTAAGTCTTGAGAGGTAAGGGTTGATACCTCTCTGCTCAATTCTAGTTTGTTTGATGATTTCAAATTCGTTTACTTAATTATTTAAGTTTAGCAAGTTTTGGTTGGTGTGTGAATTATTATTGCATTCAAGTTTATTGGTTTTTTAGTTGACATTTACTAGTTAAGTTCTGGAGATCCGAGTTTGTGTGTGATCACTAATTTGCTACTACTAAACACTACTCCATTGGGAATTTTTAAAAACAGCCGACCAAAAATTAAACCATTAAGGAATGTCACGTTAACAACAATATCGTTTTTGTGAAATGTGTGTACAGCTTTGGTTGATTTTCATTAGTTTATTAACTTTATTTGGAACGAATTTAAAAATAAACTAAAGCAGAATATCTCCAACACGTGGCGCATGACTAGCGCCAGTCTTTGTCCATAGTTTAGATTCCTAGATGTCGGAATAAGACCCGTTTGTCAGTTTCTTCATAAAAAGTCTCAAATTAAAAGACTTGGAGTATGTAACTCTCTTTTTTCTCCTACGCGCAGTGTGGCGCGTGAAGCTACGCTCCTCTGTTTCGCCTTTTTCTTTTATGAATTTTTGTAACAATTTCTTTAGAAAATTATTAATGTTCGTTTTCTTTTTGCAGTACGACGTTCATGGGAACCTTTTCGGCCTTCTAGCTGCCCATCCAGTAACACCGTTCGTATCAATGCACCATCTCGACGTGGTTGAACCGATCTTCCCAAACATGACACGTGTTCGCGCCATCAAGAAACTAACCACACCAATGAAGCTTGACTCGGCTGCGCTTCTCCAGCAATCAATTTGCTATGACAAGTCCAAAAGCTGGACGATCTCGGTCTCATGGGGATACGCGGTCCAGGTGTTCCGCGGATCTTTCTCTCCTCGGGAAATGGAAATGCCTTCTAGAACTTTCTTGAATTGGTACAAAAAAGCTGATTACACCGCCTACGCATTCAATACGAGGCCTGTGAGCCGCAATGCGTGCCAAAAACCGTTTGTTTTTTACATGTCGAATGCGAAATTCGATCAGGAATTGAACACGACGGTTAGTGAATACACGAGGCATCAGGTTCGGCATCCGGCTTGCGGGTGGGAGATGGCTAACCCGGAGGAGATCAATACTATAGTCGTTTACAAAAAACCGGACCCTCATCTATGGGACAGGGTAAGTGAATGATTAATTATGATCGTGTTTAACACACTAATTTTTTGTATATATTTGAATGAATATGTTAATGAGAGTTATTGTGTTTTTTGAGCAGTCACCTAGAAGGAACTGCTGCACAGTATTACAAACAATGAGGAATAATACATTATGGATCAATGTTGGTGTATGTAAAGCAGGTGAAGTTACTGAAGTTAAGTAATTTCTAATTTTTCTGTTAGTAAAAAGGAATTTGAAAGAGAAGACAATCAGAGGCTTTTAGTTAGGCTTTTTACTCCTATAGTTTTGTCTGGTAATTTTTTTGATTTTACCTTGTATTTTCATATTTCATTTATTGAGTTCCAAATCTCAAATTTGTCAATTATTGGCCATCAGATAGCTCGCCACTGATCCATGTTATTTTAGTATTGAGAAAGAAAATATATAGGTAATTACGTTTAAGCAGTGTAGATATTTTTAATCTTAAAAATAAGTTTTTCTACGAGAAAAACCTCACATTTTCTTCTTACGAGAAACATCTATTACATTTTCTTGTCATAAAATTTTTGTTTGAGCCATAGCATGAATTGTCGTTTGTGAATGTTGAACAATTCTCACGAAAATCACTTTTTATAACCCTAACCAGTAGTAGCGATCACTACATCACATGCCTCCAGTAAAATAATATTTTACACTCAACATTTTTTCAAGTATATAAACTAATTTCAGTGGACAAATTCAGCAAAACTGATTAAAGTTTCTTTCGTTGCCCCAACTATTCTGAGTTCATCCTCCCTTCATTCCCTCGCTCGGTGTTAGCTTTTTCCCCCTTGTCTATTTTATACAAAACGATTCTGTCTTCTTTTGTTTGTAAGCTCACAAAAGTTATAAACAAGAAAGTTTTAAAAACAAGAATTTCCTCATCGATTCTTCATTGATATTTATTCATTTTCTCATTTTTCCCATTCAAAAGTTTTAGATGTATCCCTTGCCAACTAACCTTTAAAACATAGTGTTAGCCCGTTTCTTTAGAATCAGATTTACTATTGTAATTTTTGTAACATCTTCTGTTTTGGAGTGGACAAGGATAACTAACAGAATAGTTCTTATTTTTAAAATTAAATATATGGTCAAAAAAAGGTAAGAAACAAGTTACAGACGAATCAATTTATTCAAAGATGAGTTTTTTTTTTAATAAAGAGTCCTAAAATATGTAAACAAATTCTTTCAGTGTTTCTCCTAATAAAGAAATGAGTGAAATATTGGGTCACATGTAGTTATTTATCCATTTTTATAAGGAACATCAGAAAAAGTAATGTTGTCTACCTTTAGAGAAATCTAGTGAAGATGGGTGATAAAGACATATCAGTTTAATCTATTTGATATTAGTATTTAATTTGATATTATTCATTACTATGCATTGCTATTAAGACATCTCCAAAAGAAACCTCAAATATTCATATTTGAAGTTTTATGCACTCTAAAAACAACCATAAAATTAATTTTGTGGTTTTTGATAGTGAAACTTCATATTTAAAGTTTTACTGTTCAAAATCTCAAATATGAATTTTTCATTTTTTATTTATATTTTAATCCTTCTAATTATAGCTTTCATAAATAATTGTTTTAATTTTTATGTTTATCATTCTAATCCTACTGATTTTATATTTCATGAGTGTATTCACACTTATCTTTAAATTTTACGTTTACGTATAAAATTAAATTAAAAAAAAATTGAAAAGAAAAATAAAAATATCAATAAAACAGAAATATTACATAACATTAAAAACAAATTTTACACTGTAATAATATTACATTAAACAAATTTAATACACATAAATTTTATATTATATAATGTAATGTCTTATTATAACGTTATTTCTAAAGTTCATATTATAATTTCAGTTAAGAATTTTTTTTAATGTATATTTTTGTTATTTATAAAGTTTTATAATTTTTTTAATAATAATTAATATTTTACTATGTATACCACTTGTTTGTCTTGTAAAGGCTACCTTGTAAACCACACCGAAACCACCTTCGCCAATCTTGCTTGCAGCACTAAAATTGTTTATGGCATGTTTGATTGTCTCAATGTAAACGCTTTGCTGTTAAAATCCAAAGTTTACAAGTCTGGGAGATATAAGAAACATTATAAGTCGTGGAGTTGAGGATAAGAGAAAGGGAGGAATACCCAAATGTCACAAACATTGCAGTTGTAATTGTAACTTTATATAAGTGCTCCCGAATTTAGGTTAAGTAATTTGTTGGTTAGTTTATTTTGGTACATAAACCACAATTAGAACTTAGAAGTGTAATAGTAAATTAATGAGAAGAAAGATCAATTTGGTATGGATAGAAAAATATTTAGTCAAAATATGAGCAAAATATAAGCAAAGAGTAATAAAAGTTATAGAATATATTGTTGAATATGATGTACTATGATATGATATAATCTAAGATATATGTGTTTATATATAAGCTATATATATGTATATAAAGGTGAGCGATGTGTTTGGTAGTGGAAAGAAAGATGAAAAGAAGTGGAAGGTGATTTTATGAGCAAGAGGCTAAAATGCCATAATTTAGAAAAAAATAGGCTCAGAAGCCATAATCTAATAATTAATTTAATTTTGATTTTCTTTTAATAATGAAAACCCTGGAAAATCCTTGCTTCTCCCTTACTTGTCTCTTTAATTACAGTAATACCAGGGTTAAATCCACTCAAATCCAATGATTCATGAATATCTGCTCAACCCATTTGATATTTCTATTTATCTCAAATAATTAAATAATTATATCAATATTTTATTATCAGACGAACAAAACTCTGTGTTCTTCTTCTCTTCGACGGTCTTATAGCTTTTTCCAAAATCTCGCTGAATCTTCTCTCTTTGATTTATAGAGATCAATCCTTCGCCACCGCTCCCTCCGTCTCCGGAACAGTGGCTCTCAAGAACGCAAATCTTCCAGATCCGTTGCGTCTCGGCTTCTGATTAGTTGCAGTTTGATTTCTCTCCGCCTCCCATCGATCACGATTTCCTTGTAAGATTTCTTCTTTGTAGCACCTGAAATAACAACAATTTCCCCAATATAAAACAGTATTGGAAGTCATTGCTGAAAGGATTTTTGAGAAATGGATTTCTGATTTTTGTTTTTGTTTATGGGACTCGTGAATGTGAAGGACAATTAGTGTTTCTGGAGGAAAAGTTTCAGAAGATGGTGTTATAAGGAGACTTAACATGGTTGAGATCAGGAAGAATAAGAGGGAGGAAAATTTGCGGAAGAAGAGACGCAAGGGGCTCTCGGTCGCAGCACAATCAGGACAAGATCTTTCTTCAGCGAAGTGTCTTCATTTGGTCGTCCTCTGTTTTGTGCTTGGTCTGATGTTTCAGAATCATTAATGGTGGTTAGTTGATATAATCTTGATGCCATATTCAAGTTCATGCAACTTTCTCTGCTACCGCAAAGGTTACATGTCTGTCATGAATAAACACATTCACTTAGAATTTTTCACTGATAGTGGTTCAGATTATGGAACTCAGAGCAGCCATAATAGAATCAAATGATTCAAATGCGCTAAACCATATTCGAACCAGTGTTTCAGTTTCTATTTTACGTGTTTTTGATAAAGGTTTGTTTCAGATTTGTAAATGCAGGTCTCCACATTGAGATACATACCCTTTAAACCAACAGTTCTCACTTTTTGGCTTATTAATGGTGCAGCGATCAATATCAGCAATATATTGACTGGGAAATGCTTAGCTAAGATAACACCAAACAGTGGACCTCCAAAAGAAGATGAGAGTAGTCGCACTTGTTTAGGGAAGAACTCAAAGCAAAGAAGAAACACTGTTGATGAAGCTTTATTCTAGGACGTATACACAAGAAATAGGTTCATGTGTGGTCTAATTGATTTCACATCACATCATCAGCGTTAGCCATTATGAATTTTTGGCTGTATTTGAGATGTTATTTTGAATAGATTGATAATGTTAACAATTTTATGATGAAAAAAAAAATTATGATTTGCATAACTTGTATTATGAAAACGTTGTAAATACACTACAATAGTCAAAAAATCCTATGGCCAACTACAACATATATTTGTATCAAGGTACAACTACAAAAACACTAAAATCGCAAAAGGACAACTATTAAGAATTTTGGACAACTATGTACCTAAGTCTCCAGTTGTCCAAAATTTTTCATAGTTATCCTTTGGTGACAAAAAAATATGTGCGCAGTCAAAATAACATGTGCGTCGTTAGTCGTCAATTTTGAACATAGTTGTCCATACTTGTCCAGTTGTCCAAAATTTTTCTTTATATGTTTAATTAAATTAATTATTATTTTTTAAAAAAAATTTAGGAGTTGCATAAAGTTGTCCTTACTTGTCCAGTTGTCCCTTGCTTATTCACATCCACTAAGATAAAGAACACGTGCCCCGACAAAAATAGACATGTGCGCAGTCAAAGTACCACGTGCGCCGTCAATTTTGTACATAGTTGTACCCAATTGTCCAGTTGTCCAAAATTCTTCATAGTTGTCCTTTGACGATTTTAGCATTTTTCTAGTTGTCCTTTAATATAAATTATTATTTTGTAGTTGTCCATATGATTTTCGACTATTGCAGTTCATTTACAAGGTTTTCATGACACAAATTATGTAAAATCATAAATTTGCATCTTTTCCATCAAGAGATTGTTAACATTATGAAAGTCTTCCTTGTATCATAAGGGATGTTTGATGTGAAATCAATAATATGTATTAGGAAAATGAAATTTTCATTTTATCCATGTTATTAATATTGTTTCTTATACTTTAAGACGTGTTTGTATTTCTTAAGTATATACTTTCTTTATATATTTAATTTAGTTTAATTATTAATTTTTTTTAAATTAATGAGTTGCATATAGTTGTCTTTACTTGTCCAGTTGTCCCTTGCTTATTCACATCCACGAAGCTAAGCCCCGACAAAAATAGACATGTGCGCAGTCAAAGTGCCACGTGCGCCGTCAATTTTGTACATAGTTGTACCCAATTTTCCGGTTGTCCAAAATTCTTCATAGTTGTCTTTTGCCGATTTTAGCATTTTTCCAGTTGTCCCTTGATATAAATTATTATTTTGTAGTTGTCCACATGATTTTTGACTACTATAGTCCATTTACAACATTTTCATACTACAATTTATGCAAAATCATAATTTTGCATCTTTTCCACCATAAAATTGTTAACATTATCAAAGTCTTCCTTATATCATAAAAGGTGTTTGATGTCAAACCAATAATATGTATTAGAAAAATGATAATTTTATATTATCCATCATTTTAATTTTATTCCTTATAGTTTTTAACCTTTTTGCATTTTTAACTGA